CAAAGTGTCCAATGCAAAGTGTCCACTACAGTGTCCACTACACAGTGTCCACTACACAGTGTCCAATACAGTGTCCAATGCAAAGTGTCCAATACAGTGTCCAATACAGTGTCCAATGCAGTGTCCAATACAGTGTCCAATGCAGTGTCCAATGCAAAGTGTTCAATGCAAAGTGTCCAATGCAAAGTGTTCTATACAAAGTGTTCTATACAAAGTGTTCAATGCAAAGTGTTCAATGCAAAGTGTCCAATGCAAAGTGTCCAATGCAAAATGTCCAATGCAAAATGTCCAATGCAAAAATGAATAAATTGAATTCAATTACTGGACACCATTTTCTTCCAACAATTATAAGAAAATCCCAGATATGATATTATGTGTTCAAATATATGAATACATTTGCAATGAGTTTACCTTCTTCATCAAGAAATGCTTCTTCCACCACATCCAGTGTACCATCTCTTTCAAATAATTGCCGACCTAAAGAGATAAAAATAAAGCATAATAATTGCAGGTCAAAAGTGTTCAACGTACCAGGTTTGTTGGAGTCAACTCTGGCACACCCATCATTTAATTGGAATATACTTTTTGATGGCAAATATGGATGCCAGTTCTTGACATTTTATAATATGGAAATTTTACATAACATGCATTTCTATACTATAATAATATCTTGCAGAGTTAATAAATTTAATTAAAATCTGTTAACACTAATCTGATTGATCTTTAGTTTGAATATTTCATCTTAGATTGGATTTCTAATCTTTCTAATCAGAGTACCAGAGTAGAAGTTACTGAATGTAATAGTGAATTGTAAATAAACATCAATAATACCTGTGAGCTTTTTGTCTTTATTATTGTCTTCATTTGACGCTTGTCTCTTTTTATCCTCAATTTCTTTGTCAAATTTTGCTTTCCACGCTAAAAACGTTTCAATTGTGACTGGAGTACCAACAAACTTCTTGGCCTGCAATGATGATAAAAACTTAATAAAACACAGGACACATTTTACCAGCGATTCACACATTTGTTTTCAACTAAATTTTTAGTGCTTAAGATTCTGGGTAACAATTTGAGAAGTTGTGAGCTTACCTCTTCAGCTTCTGCTTTTGTTTTTTCTTCTTGTTCTATTCTTTCTTTTTCATCTTTTTCAATTTGTTTTATTTCATCTACTTTTTCATTTAATCTTTCTTGTACTGCTGAGACCAAAGTAAATACCATAGCCATCCCTAAATTCTCTTCTACCTGAATGTGAAAACATTTATTGATATTTTTTAAATCCACAGCTAACAAATCTTCATCAATGACATAATGCCGACCATTTTTTGTGAAAGTGGAAAAATAATAAATATGAAAAAAAAAGTGGAATAACAAATTGTGAGAGTATTCAGCATGAGCAGCTCCCTGGTAAGATCAGTTTCTCATTCGATGAAAGGGCAGCTCACCCTTGTTTTTGGCATATTTGTAAAAATAAACAAGCAGCCTCTCGGCTGAGATAACTCCGCTGTTAGCAATGCACATTTCAATTAAAGAACAGAAGATATCATTAGAAAATGAACAAAATGTATAGTATCAAAACAATCAGAC